TAACTTCACCAAGATGTACTACCATCATATGAACATTTTGGGTTCAAGGCAGGTAGACAATTAGGCTCCAAGCCCATGGGAGACGGTCAGGAGTCACCGCCGCGCTCGAAACTAGGTCACCGCGCGCGGCGACCTGTTCGCGTGGCGCGGCGGTGAGTCCTGACCTGGCATTTTGCCAACTTCCGATCAATATGACCCTATCGCAGTTTGCTTGGAGCGTTCTCTCTTTTCCTCATCTTCCATCTGCCAAGAACATGTCCAAACATGCAAACATGTTAGGCATTGTTCACACTCTGCGGTCCAGCGTTTCTCTGAAACGCGGCGGTTCGGCGAAAAGCTTTCGATACATATCGACTGGCGGTTGGGCGAAGAGCCTGGCGGTTGGGCGAAAGGGTTTTGGTACGTATCGACGGGCGTTTCGCCAAACCGCGACGTTTTTCGCCTTCGACAAAACGCTAGCTCCATTGGCGTTTTTCGCCAGCGAAATCGATACACATCTACTGCTTTTCGCCCAACCGCCCAACCGCGGCGGTTGGGCGGTTGGACGGTTGGGCGATTCTCCGATCGATGACTATTTATTGCTTTTCTCCCAACCGCCGTTTCGTCAGGGCCTGGAGACTGTGAACAATGCCTTAAAGCATGTAATCGCCGCGCGCGGTGACCCACTTCCCAGCGCGGCGACCTAGTTTCAGGCGCGGCGGTGAGTCCTGACACACACCCGCCGCTAAAAACGGTGACGAGTTCACAATTTAATTCCTCAAAAGGAAAATGTCCTAAATGGTTCAGGCACAATCAATACGGGACCTAGAGCTTCACAATGCTCCTTCCAAGGAATTCTACTCTCTTACTCCTTTTACTCTTAAAAAGTTATCGTACTCGAAAAACGGCACCGGGTTCTGTGGTTTCTGGCCCATTTTGCATCATATAGCAAAGTTACCTGCCCTAGTACAACAGCAGAAACGTTTTGAAGGTTCTTCTTCGTTCAAACGACTTCTGAATGCGAGTGAACATTCAACATCTATGTATCCGAATGGATGTCATCACAACTGGTCGTACCGAGATCTTTTAGCGAGAACGTATTCAAAAAAAAATGTTACACAACGTGATGGTGTACCCTGATGGCAGCTTCGGTGAGTGAATCTCATTATTTGAAGGCAGAATAAAGGGGAAAAGTGAGAGGGCGGGACAGACGATCGAGAAATTCTGTCGCATCGCTTTTTCGATACATATGTTTATACTAGTGTCAAATCACAGAGAAAAAACTATACAATGTAGACCTTCGGGTTTATTTTAAATAGCTCGTTCTCTTCTAATTAGCTCATTGGTCACTGAGATCGTTCAGTGATAAGCTGCGGAACTGTTTTACACAGCATATTTATCCAGTTCAATTCAACGAATCCATCAACCCTCTACGAGGTATTCACTGTTTGAACACGTAGAGAAGAATGCTCTTAAAATCAATATAGAAATGTCGACTATGAACGTCTCTCTAAAGCATTTATAAAGTACTGTGTTAAGTCATAACTCATGGCGTTTTTTTTTGTAACTTGGGAATTTGTATTGATAATGAGACGTTTTAGTAGATGGCTTTACACACTTTGATAGAGAATGCTTCTCTAATATGTTCCGTTTTTTCACGAAGATATGACGTTTATCAAATTTCAGGTCATTGAGATGAACTGCGTGTAATTTAAGCGCCAAAGCTGCAGCAGGTTCTCTTCCTGGTATGAATAGGTTCAGGTGCTTCAGACTTGGCAATTTCCTCGTTCTTGATAGGCAACGGCTAGGGGAACTGAAGCATCCGCGCAACAGGACCTTCCGGAAATTTGGAATAAGCTGAGTCAGTCTCCTGATTCAACTCAGCAAAGAACCCTGGTCTGCTACCGTATTGCCAATCCGGACCTTTAAGATCGATTCTTAGCCATCCTAGGAGTCATCGCATCTTGGCCTTGTAAATCACAAATGTGTTAATACAGCTTCAGCATCTCGATCAAAAAGAAGGTATCGAAGTTGGTGTTCTGCAGAACATGCAGAGCAAGAAATGCTCCATCAAATGGCCTACAATTCATTGCCGTGAATTCTCACTTTTTACATAAAAACCCAAGTTAGAAAAAAAAACGCAATATATGGTCAAGACTAGTAACAGCGAGTCATGATGAGATAAACATGAGATACACAACTTTTTCCAGTCCACCCCCATACTACACGTGAACAATAAATCATTTGTACAACATGCATAGTGTAACAATATAAAAACAGATATACTGGTAGTGAGATAAAAAGCCATATGACTATATGACTGAGAAAAGTGATCTAAACACAGGGTAAAAGTAAAAACCTACTAGAGAGTCGTACGATTTCTCCGAGCTGTAGTATCCTCAGCATCGTACCACTGTGATAGATAAAACGTAGGCACTAACGTTAGAAGTGAGTGCAACAAAACAATCCTGATATCTGTTAAGTTCTAGTGGCACAATACGGGAATGGAATCCATAAGAAGAATATGCATCGAATCTCTGTAATGATGGACCGATTAAGAATGTGATAAAAACTACGTCATCGGAGCAGAACGTGAAAAATTTTGCGCCGGCCATGGCTTCCTGTACAAAGGGAATACCAGAGTGAGCAAAAAAACTGCTATTTAGGGATGGGTAATTAAAGACAAACACAGAAAGCCTCCAGAGTTCCACGCATTTTCTTCCCTACCTCAACGGCATCAGTTATTATTATATTCCACTACATTCTATTATAACGACCATCGCCAATTATGGTACAACATAAGTCCAATTTGGGTGTGTCTTCTTGACTCCATGCGCCTACCCGTTTCCCAGGTTTCCCGCTCTCCAGACTCTTCTCGAACCGAGTTACGAATTTCTGAAGAAAAAAAAATGGCTTTCAGCCAAGGGAACACCTCGCCCCCAGTGGGCGGGCTTAGCTCATTTCATGTGGTTCCGTACATATCGGCCCATGCCCTACCCACCTCACACTTGACCCGGGCCCTCAAACCGGCTCTTGAGGCCGAATTTCTGGGCAGAAGGCAGACAGACAGACACAGAGACAGACAGACAGGCAGACCAACAGACAGGGAGACGAAGCTGTTCAAATATAGTAGAATATTTGTTATTCCCGCATTAATTAACAGTTTATGGCAACCCCAATCCGTTTCTGAGACAAGAAGAATGTGTTCCTTCTTGGCTGGGAGTGACGGAAGGTTGCTAAACTTTCGTCTGGATAACAATTGGCTGGGGAAAGGGAGAAACAATAACATTTTCTGGAGAAGAAGAGCACCAACTCCTTCTAAAGAAGAATATATAGCGAGGCTAACGAAACGCCTTCTAACGTCATAGGTGCTTTGTGAATCACTTCATTATGACAAGAATGAACAGCTTCCGTCCTCCGATGAAAAAAAACAACCCAAAATGCAGTTTTTGACAGAGTTACGAAAAAAGCTAGCAAGAGAAAAAGGCTCCAGTCTTTCAGTCACCTTCACCAGCAGAATTAAAAACTAACCAGCAGCCTTTCATGTGAGCTTTCTCACAAATTACTTGGTTGGCTTGGTTGGCTCAGTGGATCGCTTTTCTTCTTCAGCAATCTGGGGTTGTGACTTCGATTTCCATTCCTCAAGTTTCACTTTGTAATCATGAAGGAGCTTCGCAGCTTTCTTGTTGTAGGGCTTGAAAAATGTGCTGTTAATCGAAGGTGAGCAGCGGATCATGTCCCAAGTCAAGCGCTTACTTCTTTGGCGGCATCAGTCATTGTGTTCCATTCGGAGCTCACTCGTTTCATTGTCTTGGAAACTGGGGTGATCGTTTCTCCTTGTGCTTTCAGCTTATTGTACTTCTCCTGCACGTAGAGATTGTAAGCTGATGGCGGTTTTTCAGGGCGTCCGGTTTTCTCCCAGTTCTACAACGAGCTGTTTTTGAATAGGAAGTATGTCGAAGAAAAGGCAAAACGGCTAGCAGAAAAATAGGTTTTCAAAACTCCACCTCCTTCTTTTCCTTACGACTTTTCCTTTTCATCCTTTCCTCTTTCGCTTCCAAAGATGAAGCGATCATCTCACTCTTCTCTTCTTCTGAAAGAGCCTCAAACTCCTTAATTTTCTCTTCGCGGTAACGTTTGGAAAGCTCTTCGTACTTCTGCAAAGTGTGTTGTTGCTTTGAAATAGGGAAGTAAACCGAATGTTACCTTTCTTGAAGCTTCATCGAGGGACTTCCATGCTGCACCAGCTTCTTTCATCGTGTTTTTCCCTTCCACTAAATCTTTTGGGTGATGTTTCGCGAAATGTTCTTTCACAAAAATAGCACAAGGTCCCATAGTCATTCCAGTGACAGGATACTTGTGCTGTTTTTCCCTGAACAGCATAGGATGAGTTGCACAAGAGAGAGAGAGAGAGAGAGAGAGAGAGAGAGAGAGAGAGAGAGAGAGAGAGAGAGAGAGAGAGAGAGAGAGAGAGAGAGAGAGAGAGAGAGAGAGAGAGAGAGAGAGAGAGAGAAAGAGCATATTCTCCAGCTTCTCTCTTGCTGTAACCTCGGCATCGTTGTTAAATTTATTGCTATGCCTCTTGAGGTTTTTAGGTGGAATCTTTATTCAACGGCCTAACGTTTCGACAGGGTCGTCTTCTTCAGAGGCCTAAACGTGTTTCGAGTTAAGGAGATGAACACTACCCCGTCAAGCGCCCAACCAACCCTAGCAGTTCCGATGACGTGTTCGGAACTCTACAAGGAAATTCTACACAATACGAAATGTGCACTCACCAGAACTCCACCGTGAATCCGCCGTCACATGCGGATGTTAGTCAGTAGCAAATGAGACTTACTCTAGCGTCTCCTTATACGTATAAAGTTGAGGAGACGCACGTATCACCGGCTACTATAACTCGCAGTACGGTATAAACGGCGAAAGTTCATTGGTTATTGACGGACGCTCATCTCGGTTGTTCATCCTAGGATTTCTGCCGGAAATCCAGAACGCCTCCAGCGCCTTTCTTGCCGAGATTTCCTTCTCCTGCGCCAATATTGTGCACTTAATTTCCATGGACCCAGCGCAGTAGGTGCACGACAGCGCTGGGCAGGCATAGAACTGAGGAGCACAACGGCAACAACTTCGAAATTAAGTGCACAATATTGGCGCAGGAGACGGAAATCTCGGCAAGAAAGGCGCTGGAGGCGTTCTGGATTTCCGGCAGAAATCCTAGGATGAACAACCGAGATGAGCGTCCGTCAATAACCAATGAACTTTCGCCGTTTATACCGTACTGCGAGTTATAGTAGCCGGTGATACGTGCGTCTCCTCAACTTATACGTATAAGGAGACGCTAGAGTAAGTCTCATTTGCTACTGACTAACATCCGCATGTGACGGCGGATTCACGGTGGAGTTCTGGTGAGTGCACATTTCGTATTGTGTAGAATTTCCTTGTGGAGTTCCGAACAGTCATCGAACTGCTAGGGTTGGTTGGGCGCTTGACGGGGTAGTGTTCATCTCCTTAACTCGAAACACGTTTAGGCCTCTGAAGAAGACGACCCTGTCGAAACGTTAGGCCGTTGAATAAAGATTCCACCTAAAAACCTCAAGAGGCATAGCAATACTAAGGCAGCGTTCAGACTTCGTGACGGCAGCGCTTCGGTCGCGCGGTTCGACGATCGATGCGTATTCTTTTGACTGGATGGCGTCACGTCAAACGCGCGGGCGAAGTGTTGCTATCGCGAAGTCTGAACGCTCCCTAACGAATTTAACAGAGAGAGCATAATTATAAAATGCTGAGAACAAGTAAGATCCGCTTGCCGCAATAAAGTAAATCATTGGGCACAAGGCTTTGGCTTCGTTGGGGCTACGTCTTCTCTGCTGGAATATGACTTGGCGACTCTGGTCGTCTGTGTTCTGGACCTAAGTCTTGGTTCGGTGAAAGGGTCCAAAGGTGGGGTGGACCCCTTCCCCAACTATGTTAACGCCTATTTTCAATTCTTCGCACGATGCTGTTTAAGCTGTCAAAGGGATGAAATGAAGGAAAAGGCAACAATTCTCGAAGCTCAGGCGTACAGTCAGACTGGCCTTGGACTCCGTGCAAATATCGTTTTCAACTCACTTAGTGGTCGCTTTTGAACTCGCCAGTAACCGTCTACTCAGTAGGAGGAGCACTTGGGATTTTAGCATCTGAAATGGTATAAACTGTAATCGGCACGTCTTTGGAACCTCAACATACACGGAATCGAAATAAAAATTAAGCGGTAGAACAATCTCTGACCAAAACCAGACCCGTTGATAGAGCTAGTTTGTTCTCACGAAACAACGGAAATCGCGGAATTTCAAAGTCCACGAATGTGACGAAAAATAAGAGGTAGCTTGTGTAGTGTTCAGAGGACTTACTTGTTTGACGCTAGAAGTTGACGTTGAGTGCTGAGCTTCACCCACTTTTTGCTTTGGTTTTTTTTCCTTTAAGATTACTGCTCTTGTACAACTAGCAGCTGAAATAATGGGAGGGTGCTGCTGGGAGGCTAGTTTAACCCTAGCTTTTCGTCTGTATGGCTTGAGTTTAACCAGAGTTTTGTTTCACCATTATTTTCAGCTCGTACTGTCATCGTAATTTTGATCAGACAGGAAAGTACAGAAGAACCACACAAGAAAATGTTTAGCGGGCTGTAGTGATTGACAGTTTTCAGGCTTTACTAATAATCTTCGGACAAAGTGTCTTGAAACAAGCAGAACTGAAACAAAAGTCTGTCTGTCACATCATCGCAAACGCAGGTTTCACTATGAAAAAGTCTTTCTGTGGCATCTCTGGTCCACGGATATCAAAGAGTTTGGTGAGACGCAATCGCTGCAGTTTTGGCAGCATGGCGCACTCTTCCTGCCTTTGCGAGAGTCATGAATAAAGGGAGTGATCTGTTACGTGTGAGAGCTCTTCATGTGGCAATAGTGACGAATTCTGCGCCACAGTAATCTGATCAAAACATCTGTTCCTCAAACAGTGTAGTTGATGCAATGTATTGCGTCAGCTTTGTGCAATGTGTTCCGCCAATAGTTCCGGCCGCGTTCACTTTGTCATTCTTCTGATTCACATTTTTGAAAATGTCTTTAAGGAGCCATTTTAATCAATGCCATTCAGTTGTCGTTTCACTACTCGTTTAAATGTTGAGTGAACTCCAATCCTGTCGTTTCACTACTCGTTTGAATGTTGAGTGAACTCCAATCCTTGTTCCAGGTATATAAAAATGAGTGGGCTGGATACTGTTCCAGACACCATAAATTTTCCTGAGGAAGAAGAAAAAACCTTGAAATTTTGGGACCAAAACGGCGTTTTCGAAAAATCGCTAACGTAAGTGGTTCTATGAAGCTTCCATGGGCTGCGTTTATACTTTGCGTCAGCTTGTTAAGCGGTGGCCCACAAAAATTCAGAGCTACGGAAAATGCCCAATACGCTGGCTCACGCTCAAACGCTGACGCAAAGTATGAATGCCACCATAGTAATTACAGTTTTTTGAATCGTGACATCACCTTGTCAACTCCACAGGACTTTAGAACAACTGAATACAGTAATATTTTATTTTATTTTATTTATTGGACGTGCAATAGCACATAGAACATAAAACAGGACAATCTAAATGTTAAAAAAAAACAACACAAAAACAGAAAAAACCAGCTCAGATAAAAACCGATTATGTTGCTTCTACGCTCACATATGCAGACAGTAACTACAACTCTTCAAATGAAATCACCGACCCGCCTCTTGAAAGTAGCATACTTCAAAGGGAACACATTCGAACGTAAGAGCGAATTGAAGTTGGTACAAGTTCTATTACTAAAAAACCTTGACCTGTACTGAGTCCTAGCAAACGTGGCACTAAGTCTGATACTAACTCCTCTTGTATTAGTAGACAGTACTTGGAAAAACTGTTCAACGTCCAATTTCACTAAGCCATTTAATATTTTGTAAGCCATCAGTAAATCATATCTCTTCCTCCTCCACTCGAGAGATTTAAGCCCGTACGTCGTATTCCTAACAAAACCTCTAGGTATATCTAAGTAGTTTAAGCCCGTACATCTAAGCATTAGTTTACGAGTAAAGTTGTTCTGAACAGATTCCAGCGCTTGAATATCTTTTTTGGTGTAGGGGTTAAATACCGTTGTACCACATTCCAGGATAGGGCGAACGTAAAGCTTATAGGAACGTAACAAAATGCCTGGATCCTTTGTCCGTAGGGCTTTGAATAAGTTGAACGTTCTGCGCATACCTTTAACCACCAATATTTTAAAGTGCTTTCTGAAACTTAGTTTACTGTCATAGTGGAATCCGAGATCCCTAACTTCCGCCACCGTCTTCAATGCAGCTTTATCGGCAGAATACTGTGGTTCGCGAGTGTGAGCCCCCAAACGCATGACTTGTGTTTTTTCCGATGACAAGAGAAGGCCGTTGCTGTCAGCCCAATTTACAATCCTGTCTATTGCGAGCTGAAGTGACGGGTCACATTCTGAGTCCGTAACAACCTTGTAAATTTTGATATCATCGGCATAGATGTTACAGGTAACTCCAAGACCTTGAAGCAGATGAGGAAGATCAGCAGTGAAAATGTTGAATAATACTGGAGAGAGGACCCCTCCCTGTGGTACTCCACTGCAAGCCCACCGCACTTTAGAAACAGCTTCCCCCACCTGAACTTGAAATGTCCTATATTCAAGAAAGTTCTTAATCCAATTGACCACTAAGGGGGAGACTCCATAATGGTTTAGTTTACGGATGAGAACGTCATGTGGCAACCTGTCAAATGCCTTGCTAAAATCAAAATAAACCACATCAACGTTTTTCTTTTCATCTAAACGCTTTAGACCAATCATTCAAGCAATCCAACATTGATGTTTCGATTGACTTGCCCTTAGAAAACCCGTGATGCGAGTTGGAGATAATGCAGTTATCCTCGATGTGGCCGATCAAGTACTTTTTAATAACCTTTTCAAACACTCGCGCAAATATAGAGGTAAGACTGACCGGTCTATAATTATCCGGGCTAGAGAAAGGCGCTTTTTTGGGAATGGGCAGAACAATGGAGTGTTTCCATAAACACGGAACTTGTCCACGCATCAGACTTAAATTGAAAAGAAATTCAAGAGGCCCACAGATTTCGAAAATGCAATTTTTAACAACAATAAAAGGTATATTTTCACAATTTACACTAGAGGCGGATGACCATTTATTCAGAATGTCCACGATCGAGTCTTTATAAAACCATGGAGCAGAGGGATTAACATTAACTCCCGGAAGCTGAACATCTTGAGCGGAATGAGGCCGTGTAACAAAGTACTTTTCAAACGTATCAGCTAACAACTCAGCTTTATCTCTTTCCAAGATTGCCCTTTTGGAGTCCGGTCCCAGAAGAATGCCTATTTTTCGTTTGTCCGAGAGCCTGATTCTAAGAAGAGAATATAAAGCTTTCAACCCACCTTTAGTTAATTTTACCTTTTCCATGTAGGCATTAAATTTGTTTAGTTTCTTTGACCAAGTTCTACTAAATGCGTGGTAACTCTTCCAATCACTTAACGATTGGGATCTAACTGCTTTCTTCCACAGACTTTCCCTAGTTTTCTGCATACGTCCCAAATAATCGGGTAGTTCATGGTACCTATTCTGCACTACTAACCTATAAGGTATATACAGGTCCATTGCATGACGTAGGATCGAAACGAACATGTTATATTTTTCATTTACTCCGTTAATACGGATTACTTTTCATGTGTTTACAATTCCGATCTAGGTTGGCTAAAGATAGACCACGTTATACCTTCTTCGATGGTCCTCCTTTCGCAACCGGTCTACCTCACTACGGCCACATTTTGGCTGGCACAATCAAGGTTTGGTATCTCCTACCTGGTTCGCTGCTGATGATGTCCGCGCAGCCACGTCTGGCGCCAAGCGAACCCGTTTTTTTTTATTTCGGCAAGCGGCAGTACTGTATCATATCATTCGTATTAGTCTTTTTTCACTAGGTGTTGTCACTTACCCGTTTTAGAAACTGGGGAAAATGCATCTGGCAGAGTGCCAGATGCAGTCGCGCGGACACGCCCCATCATTCGCAGCGAACTAAACTGTAAAAATATGTTTCCTCGATGAAATGCTCACCCAATGCCAGTTCTTTTACAGGATGTAGTAACGAGGTGGGCTCATCAGAATGGTTACTTTGTTGAACGGCGTTTCGGTTGGGATACGCATGGTCTTCCTGTGGTGAGAACCTTTCCTAACATGAAATGTTGTCGTACTGTCGTACAGTTGATGCTCCTATTACTTCTGTGCTCGACCTTAATCTAGTTCTCATCGTGTTTTTAGGAATATGAAGTAGACAAGACATTAGGCGTAAAAGGTCCCAGTGACATTTATGCCATGGGAATTGACAAATATAATGCCGAATGTAGAAGTATCGTTATGAGATATGCTCATGTGAGTTTGTGGCTGTCTTTTTTCGTTCTTCTCTTCATCCATTGCCCTTGTCCTTCTTGTTATCCTGCTACTTTACACCTCCCATAGAAAGAGCTAATAGTTTTATTTGCTGTTCAGGAATGGGAGGTAACAGTTGCCCGTATGGGCCGCTGGATCGATTTTCGCAATGACTACAAAACCCTTTATCCCTGGTTCATGGAGAGTGTTTGGTGGGCATTCAGCGAACTTTTCAAGAAAGGTCTTGTCTACAGAGGTGTCAAGGTGCGGTTTGTACAGTTGCCTGATAGTACTTGTAAGTGTGCTCTTCATTTGCTTTTTTTCTAGGTCATGCCATTCTCTACGTCGTGTAACACTCCGCTTTCAAATTTTGAAGCCGGACAGAACTACAAGGATGTTGTTGACCCTGCCGGTAGGTTTCAGTGACAAGACAGTTAATCTCCTAGGCTGCGTTCATACTTTCTGTCAGCGATTTGAGCTTTTCGAGAGACTAGGATGTATAAGTATTGATGAATCGTCGCCGGCGTCGGCAGCGTTTTGCGCTACTAGGAAAGTATAGATATCGATCTGGCGTTTTGAACGTATGCCGGCATTTCAAGCTTTTTCGAGGGCACTTTTGAGCACTCATCGGGCAGTCGCTGAAAAGCTGGCACGGAAGCAGCCTTAACCGTTTCCTCGGTTTCATTTTGTCCTTCTTAGTTCTCCATACTAATGCTATCATCTCACGAAACTTCCCTTCAAACCACGTTTTCTCGTGTTGTGAGGTTCATCCCAGATCGACAGTATTTTTAGTGTGTATCGGCTTCCGCCTTGATGAGAATCCGAATCGCATGATGGTGGCGTGGACGACGACTCCGTGGACATTGCCTAGTAATCTTGCCCTTTGTTGTACATCCAGATCTAGACTACGTTATTGTGAAAGGTACGGTGCAGTTCACATTCTTCCATTTCGCCTGTCAATCCTTGAAGGGTCAAGTCATTGAGCTTTCTTAATTGAAGGTTTCTTTTACGATTTGCTATTTAGATCCGTCGAATGGCTTGGAATATGTTGTATTGGAGGAACGTTTGTTCGAGCTGAAGAATGATAACTTAGAGGTCTTGGAGAAGGTCGGTTTTTGTTGATGTTGTAGGTGAGCTGCTCCTGAAACTCACATTTGTTCAGGTGAAAGGTCGTTCCTTCGAAGGAAAAACATACAATCCACTGTTCCCATATTTCACCTACATGAAAGCCGAGAAGAACGCATTCCGCGTTCTTTGCAACACTTTTGTCACCACTGATCAGGGTACTGGTATTGTACATCAAGCTCCATATTTTGGAGAAGGTAAGTGTTTCTTATTTGATGAATATTTTAAGGAAAAGGAAAGAAGTGGGCACGCTTGCTGTGGGCGGGTTCACTACAAACGTCATTGGAGGAAGGGCTGCTTAGGTGTGTGCACTTTCGCGGCCCTTCCAGTGACGATGGCACTAATCGCCCGACCGAGCTATCATGCCCACTACCTTAAAGAGGATACTATGGAGCGAAATTCTCTGTTTCGCAAGAATTCAGTTTTTATTTTTTATAGGCTCGAATTTCAGATTTGCAGCATTATTTTAGGTAGTTTTCATACTCGATAGTTTTAGATTGATTACCAAACTTGCCTTGAAAATGGGATAATTACAAAGGACATGAAGATCATATGTCCTGTGGACGAAAGTGGCCGGTAAGACTACTGAGTGCTGTTCGGCTATTTTAACCTGCGCCTGAAAAGATTATTTCTTTCGGAACTTCATAAGTAACATTCTTTTCCGATTCAGTGTATGGCCATTTTGTGAGAAAATTCTGGCGCCAGAAATAGTTTTTGCAGCTGTTTCCCGGCCCGGGGACCTAGAAATAGTAATAATCCCCGCAAACAAGAGGGCGCAGGGTAGGAGCATGGCTTGAAGCGCAGATAGGCAGATCTCACAGCACTGAAGGCTGGTTGAGGATGGCATCATTGTAGGAACAAGACAGCTCTGGCTGCGCTGTTCACACCGCCGCGTCACACCCTATCGTTTGCAGGGATCTTTTCTGTAAGTGTGTGTCTCTGACCAGGACCATCGAATGCGCCCTTAGCAGAAAATTATGCGAAAGAAATATTCCTTTCATCCTCTGTGTGGTTGTAGCTGAAATGTCGCATTTTTTCAGCGAAACATTTTATTTTTTTATATTTTAACGCAGTGTGGTTGACCTTCTAGGTTCACTGAGGAAGTGAGCGATTTCGCAGGAATGTATGTGAAAGATGCTGATAAGCTGATTTGCAAGCGATTGAAGGAGAGCGGTAACCTTATCAAACAAGGAGAAGTAATGAAATTACCGTATCTGTGGTGCTGGCTTTCTCATCATGTGTGAAGTTACGTCTTACAGGTGAAACACTCTTACCCCTTCTGCTGGCGTTCGGATACTCCTCTGCTATATAAAGCTGTTCCGTCTTGGTTCATTCGAGTGGAACATATTGTGCCCAAACTTCTGGCAAATAATGAACAAACTTACTGGTGAGCTAGTTAGCGTGTAGTTTCTACGCTGTGTCCATTATAAGTATTTTGAGCTGCGTTTATGCTTTCCATCGGCGTTTGAGCGTAGGCCAGCGTTTTGAGTGATTAAGAAAAAATCGATTCAGCGTCGAGCGTGTGCCAGCGTATTAGCAATTCCCGCGAAAAGTTCAAAATTAGCCGCGAACAGCTCAAAGCGTTGGCATATGCTCGAAACGCTGTCGCAAAGTATGAACGCACGCTTGGTAGGGACCTTGTGTTCAGAAAAGAGCATTGCCTTTGTTCAGGGTCCCTAATTTTGTAAAAGAGAAGCGCTTTGCAAACTGGTTACGAGATGCCCGGGATTGGGCAGTATCTCGTAATCGCTTTTGGGGAACTCCAATTAATTTGTGGGTGAGCGACGATCTGGAAGAGATTGTGTGTCCCTCGAGTATAGCCGAACTTGAGCGACTCACTGGTACCAAAATCACCGATATCCATCGAGAAAGGTATTTTTACACATTTTATTCACTTTTTTTGTGGATTTTATTGTAATTCGTCTCAGTGTCGACCATCTCACCATTCCTTCCAAGACAGGTCGTGGAGTTCTGAAGCGAGTTAGCGAGGTAGAGCTGTGTTGCTGTTATTCTTTACGCTTCTGAGTAAATTGTTCAATAAAGGCAGTGGGCGAGACAACTGCCCGTCCCCAGAAATCGAGCTCACTGCCTTTCAGAGCTTAACTTTTCTACCCTCTTTCACGTGGCTTTGCAGGTTTTCGACTGCTGGTTCGAATCTGGCTCTATGCCCTACGCTCAAAACCATTATCCTTTTGAGAACAAGAAAATGTTTGAAGATAACTTCCCGGCTGATTTCATTGCTGAAGGAATCGATCAGACGCGAGGATGGTTCTATACACTTCTCGTACTATCCACTGCTCTCTTCAATAAGCCACCATTTAAGGTTCTGCTTTGAAAAATTGAAATATTAGTGGCACAGCAAGCGCAGTTATTTTCAGAACCTCATTTGCAATGGACTTGTGCTTGCCTCTGATGGCAACAAGATGTCCAAGCGTAAGAAGAATTATCCAGACCCGATTGAAGTTGTACAAAAATACGGTGCCGACGCACTCCGCCTGTATCTTATCAACTCCCCTGTGGTACGGGGAGAGAATCTCCGTTTCAGGTGTGTTAATAGGTGTTTCAGTTTGTGATGTGAGATGCTAGCTTCTGTCAGTTCAGTTCACAACTGAACTGACAGAAGCTCATCTGAGCACGAGCATCAAAACTCGTGAGTTCCTTAAATGGTCACTATTTGCAGAGAGGAAGGAGTGCGTGATTTGCTGAAAGATGTTTTCTTGCCGTGGTTCAACGCATTCCGATTTTTCGTGCAAAACGTTCAACTTTACGAACATGTATGTTTTCCTATATTTCCTGTACCTGCTCCTTTTTTTGAGAACAACAAAAACACATTTTGAATAGCGGCGTTCTGGGCATGGATAAGCTTCTTGAAGTTTCGTGCTCTGGCGACTGATTTCCTTAGCCGGCAGCAATCTCCAGCGTCCATCAGTGACCAGCAACTTTTCGAGCATCCGTGAGCGTCAGCGAATAGAAAAGTATAGATATCGATCTAACGACCAGCAGCGTCCACCGGCGGCCAGGAAGATAGAGTATGGGGAGGTATGAGGGTAGTAGACATCTGGATAGGGCATCGTGAAATTGCGCCGTGTGAAACCGCACCATGCAATTGATAGAGCACACAGTTGTGCAAAATGTACGTTCTGTGGTAGTTGACGGTGCGGTTGCACACGCCGCAATTCCGCGACGCCTAATCCAGCTGTTTGCTGCACTCTCACTTCCCCATACTCTCTACTCCTAGATGCCGGTGGACGCTGGCGCTCGCTAGCGATACATTCCGAATCGCTGGAGGACGCTCGAAAAGCTGTGAACGCTGCCGCAAAGGGTGAACGCAGGCTCAAAGTTTACTGGCTCATCCAGTGAAGCGTTCTCCTTCCGTACTAAAAATGCTTTATTCAAAACTCTTTCACTGTTTGTTAGTGAGATTTTAGAGGAATAGAATATTTTCATTTGAGGGTAGTGGGAAAGTATTCTCGATGAAAGAAATGAAGAGCGAAAATGTAATGGATAGGTGGATTGAATCGTTTACCAACAGTTTGGTGCGGTTTGTCCGCAAGGAGATGGCCGAGTGAGTTGTCAGTTCTACCTAAACTCTTACAGACATTCATTTCGGGACTGGAAATGCCGCTGTGTTAAGGAGTGCCTCACGTCATTTAAAGTAAAGTTAGCAAGATTTGTTTCAGATACCGGCTTTATGCGGTGGTAACTCCTCTTACGAGGTTCTTCGACACATTAACTAACTGCTACATCCGTTTGAACCGAAAGAGAATAAAGGTCGGCCAAGATTTTTATCAATGCCTCAGATAGGAGAAGGAAGAACTACAGTTGTTATAGGGCGATTTCGGTGCAGATGACCAAATCCATGCACTTTCTGCCCTTGGACGTGTTCTCATCCTCATTGTTCGACTTATGGCACCATTTACGCCATTTTTCTGTGAATATGTGTGGAAGAACTTGCGTAAAGTAAGCGGAAGATAAGCCGTACTTTCTTCTGCTCGGACATATTTTACTTTGTAGGTGACTGGGGCTTCCGAGGAATCTGTACACTATACCTTGTTGCCGACTTCGGATGATAGTCTGATCGACACAGCTGTAGAAAGGAGGGTGCAGGCCATGCGAGAATGCATCGATCTAGTGAGGGTTTTACGAGAACGTAAAGCGATACCTGTCAAGGTTTGTGAGCGCAATATTTGTACATTTGAAAACGAATTTTTTTTTTTCTGGAAGGGGCACCTTCTTGGCTGTACAGTGTGGTTCGCTGCGAATAATGGGGCGTGTCCACACGGCTGCTTTTCTCATGCCACTGAATCCGTTCCTCCGCAGTTTTCAAGCGCCTATGTGACAACATCTGGTAAAAAAATGGACTGAGAACGATATGATACAGTCCTATCGCTTGCCGAAAAAAAGCGGTCGGCATCGCGCCAAAAGCACAGGCGCGGACGCCCCATTCTCTGCAGCGGACTAGACTGTAACATCCCGACTACGAGTGCAAGTAAAGTTTATAAGTTTTGCAGTACCCACTGAAAGAAATGATTGTGGTTAACCGAGATGGCCAATTTTTGGATGATCTGAAGAGCTTGGAGCACTATATTCTATCAGAAGTGAATATTCGCCAATTGACAGTATCCCAAGACAAGCACAAGTACGGTATCACCCTGAAGGTACGAACCCGCTAAATGTCTTTTGTATTCTCAACTGTGGTGTTCTGTGTTTTTTTTTCAGGCGGATCCTAACTTTAGAATGCTCGGAGCACGGTTGAAGGGCGATCAGAAGAAGGTCGTGGACTACCTTAAAACTCAGGTTACCGAGAACGAACTAGAACAGTTCCTGGTTGAAGGCGAGTGGCTTCAGTGTTTTGAGATATCGGTTGGGATTAGTGGGCTGCGGAAAGGTTCATAGGCGTCATGCTTCTGAAATAAGACTATATTTCTGTTAAGTGTCGCTCATTGCACATACAGTCCAGGGACCAGGTAAAATATATTACAGTAAGTTATGGTAGCATTTAGATTTATTCTATAAAACATTTGGTTAACTATAAGCTTGGTTATTAATCATTATTACACGGGGTCAACATAAGGAGATAGTTTGGTTTCCGTTTCGCACGTGCCCTTAGACCTTAGAAAGCCAAATACCCCCTGATTAACCAGCTTTATGATCCTTCAAGTTCGCTTGGTCGGCATCAAGTTCGTATGGGGGAACAAAAACAACTGTAGATTGGGTTGGCCTTGCGACTTATATGGGACAAACTGTAATTAAAACCGCAAAGATCCCGAACGGAGATGAAATGTGTGGCGCTCTGGATGCGATTCCGTCTTGGTGCAGTTTGGCGACTGGGAGGGGGTGCTTTTGCACTTTTGCTACTTCATTTCGTGGCTTCACAAGAGTTCACAGATCTCCACTTGATGGCCCGATATGTCGATGGGAGGTACAAAAGTGCAAAATGCCCCTCCATCGCCAAACTGCGTCCCAAGTTTTCATTCTTTACCTTCCTTCTGCGAAGATACTCGAAAAATTTTCAGGCAAATTGACGGTGTGTG